AACAATTATTATATTGGTAACACTTTACTATAAGGTCACATTTGTTAAACATTAGTTAATACATTATCTAACATGACCTAAAATGGAGCAATATATTTTACAGCATTTTTAACCTTTGTAAATATTAGTTAAAGGGCACCTATTATGCCCCTTTTTACAAGATATAATATTGGTCTTGGGTGTCCTCAGAATGTGTCTGTGAAGTTTCAGCCCAAAATACAAAACAGAATTTTTTTTATAACAGCTGGAAAATGTCATTTTTGGGGTGTGTCTAAAAAAGAGCTGTTTTGGAGTGTATGGCTTTAAATGCAAATGAGCTGCATATTCCCACCTCGTCTCCAGAAGAGGGCGTCGCGTATACGTCTCTCTGCATTGCATATCTACAGCAATAAGCAGCCGGTAGAAGCAACATAACTGAGAGCGAGAGAACCGGTGTTTAACCGTACATATGGGAAGCCAAATGCACTGAAAGTGGAACGAAACAGCGTGATGTTACAGAGCTGCAGACCTGTCATCGGCGTGGATCAATTGACTGAGCCGAGCGACCGCACTACCGAATGAATCTCGCGCTCAGTGCTGATCAGTTAAAAAATAATTCATGTACGCACACAAATACGGTTAAAACGCTAAGCACTGTAATGACATGACATTCACAAAGGAGTCTGGAGTGGTACACGTATTTAGGTAGATTTTGAGGCGCATTAGCTTGAAAAATGAAAGTAATCCACAGTGTCCTCAGCAGCTCAGATGTTGGGAGAAAATTAAGACTCTTATGTTCAGTCTTACATCCAAACACAGAGCATCGGGATTGCTTGCAAGACTATTGTCTCTATCGCAGTTACACGCTCATGTGACATTGCTGCGCTGCATGGTCACAAAAAGTTATCGTTTGCATGTGTTTTTAAGCATTGCGGTTTGAAATGCAATCAGCAGCGAAAGAGAACTCATTTCATGAAGACTGTGCTCATAGAGCGTGGCAGTGCTGAACGGAGTTATTTTTGCCATTTTAGGGTGTACTTACACTAGGCGTTTTGAACCGGTTCGTTTAGCCGTCCCTGGCCCAGTTGGAAGAGGTGGGCCAGGGCACGGTTTGGTTGGGCTTGGGCTCGGTACGCATGCAGTGTAAGCGCTAACCGCGTCAGAGCACGGAACAGATACTGTTTTGTGTGTGCTGCTGTCATCATTACGACCGCAACCATTATATTACTACTACTACTTCTACACTACACTTTTTAATTAATTTAATTCAATCAAGTATATTTAGGTTTATAATGGCTCTGGTTCTCACCTTAATGATGAACAGGAAATGTAGTTTGCGAGTAAAGCTGCAAATTATATAATTAACGTCAGCTGCCTCCGTAATAATTATCTGATACATACAAGTGAAAATCAATGCACAACATAAATTATAAATGAATTATTATTAATTATTCGGCAGAATATTAGTGAAAGTGGTTTTCTCCGTTATCTCATACATGACGTATGCGTGCTCCGGCCCGGAAAGTTTAGTGCAAGTGTGAGTGCAGGCCAGCGGGGGAGTGGGTAGGGGGGATAATCGCGCTCGGGCACGGTTCAAGGCAACCATGCCTAGCGTGAGTACACCCTTATAGGCCTTGAATGGTTAAATACACACACTTGTATCTGTCAAAATGCCCATCTTTGCAAGTATCCTCGTATACACAGTAATTTAGGTTTTAAAACTTTCTAGATCTTTTTTATGCCTAAACATACACACTACACACTGACTAAAATTAAAAAAGTGAAAAAGCATAATAGGACCCCTTTAAAGAAAAAATAACTATGTTGTGATATATATCGTTACTGTGAAATAAACTAAAAAAGGTCTTGGTCGCTCACCACTAATGTTAACAAATGAAACCAAACCTTATTGTAAAGTGTTACCATTATATTATATAATCATTCAGGGCAAGTTAGCTATTAGCACTGACAAGTCTTTTTTTTAAATATGTAATTGTGCGCATCCTAATGAGATTGGTCATAGCCATTGGATTTTGCTTTTATTTACTCTCGTAATTGAACTGCCTATACTCCTGATGTTTGCACAGATCACTGTATGAAGATATTTGCGGCTATGGCCAGTGAACCACTTGAAGGGTTCCATGAGGTGAACCTGGCGTCACCCACCACCCCAGATCTTCATGGGGTTATAGACCCGAGCCCACCAAAGCACAACGCTCCCCCCAGCACACTGTACCGCACACACTCTTTGACCTCTAGCCAGAATGCACCCAATGCTCTCAGAGCCGACCAGCTGCCCACCCAGCCCGTGTACTCGACCCCCCGTCACCTGGGCACAGAGGACACCCTCAATGGCAGGTAAGACTCCAGAAACAGCAGGTGAACCAAACACAGTGTCTACACTCAGGGTTACCAGGTCTGAAAAACAAAACCAGCTCAATCAATATTAAAAACAAGCCCAAACACATTTTTTTCCATGGGTTTCCACTCAGTCAGGGGTCTCCTTCATCACAATTGTGTTCTGGGGAGATTGGTTTAACCTGTGGACTAAAAAACAACCTGTGGCAACAGTGTAAAAGTAGCCCAATTCTATGGGAAAACCATGGACTTGGGAACACTGTCTATACTGGATGTATTTTGACAAGCTACTCCAGTCATTTAATTTTAGTAACCAACTATATATATATGTGTGTGTGTGTATAATACACCTCATGTCGCTCCAAAGCTCTATGACTTTCTTTCTTCTATGGAACATAAAAGAAGATATTTTGAGATGGGGTTTTTTTCAGTCACTGGTCACAAAAACTGTTTGGTTGCCAGTATTGTTCAAAATATCTGCTTTTATGCTGCAGAGTAGAAAGTTATGTCGTACAGGGGTGGAACGAGATGCCATCAAAAGCTTACGAGCAATAGCAGATGTATTTGGATATGATCTACAGTACTTGTCAATAGTTGGAAAACATTACAATTTTTAAATGTTTTTAATTAACTCTTCTACTCACCAAGGCTGGATTTATGTGCTCAAAAAAATCATCAATATTTATGTGTGCGTGTTGAGTTCTAATAGAAATTAATGCTTTTATTCAGCAAATAAGCTTTTAAACTTTCTATTCAGCAATGAATCCTAAGAAAAAACAAATCCACAAAATATTAAGCAGCTGAAACTGTTTTTAACATTGATAGTAATAAAAAACATTATTAATAACTGAGCACCAATATAAGTCAGCAGCAAATCGGTATATATTAGTATGATTTCTGAAGGATCATGTGACACTAAAGATTGGAGTAATGCTGAAAATTCAGCTTTACGTCACAAAAATAAATTACATTTGAAAATATATTCAAATAAAAATTTGTTGCAATTGTTTGCAGTTTTACTGTACTTTTGGTCAAATAATGCAGCCTTGGTGAGCATTAGAGACTTCATTAAAAACACTTAAATCATAATGTTTCCAAACGTTTGACAAGTACTCTATGTACCTGGATGTTTTATCTGTGATGGTCTGATGGAGTTTAAGTCATCATGAAATCAAAATGGACAATTCTTACTTTTATGGGAAGTTATCCATAAAATATCCCTCACCTTAGTTTCAATAAAAGCTCTTTTTAGACTGAAGAGAAAGTTTCTAAATCAAATTGATGTTTGTCTCCACAGTGGAAATGATCTTGCAGTGGATGCAGTGGATGGCAACGTCCCATCAGCTGATGGAGAGGATGTTCTGGGCCTGAGCGCAGACAGTCTGTCCCGTCTCAGAAGTCCATCAGTTATGGAGGTCCGAGAGAAAGGCTACGAGAAGCTAAAGGAGGAGCTCGCCAAAGCACAATGGGTGAGCCACTAAACCAATGACATTCACAGATCTAAACTTACATTTATTCATTTAGCTGATGCAATAAACCAAAACAAATGAGAAATTACGAACATCACAAACTAATTTTCAGACTCTGAAAATATACCTTTTATCACATGCCTCTGGTTAGGACACAATGTAATTCACAACAGATATCTAGGGCTGGGCTGAAAATGGTGATTTCTCGTTTTTTATTAATTCTCAGTTTGATTAACCAATCGATCATTTAGTCTATGCTGTTTTCAGTTGATGTGTGTAGTGAACAAAACTTCACTAAACATTATTTGTAGTGTGCCTGCTATCCAGTAAATCACTATAAGCTTTTTGCTTTGCTATTTGAGATATGAAACAAAGTCTCAACTTACAAATTCTGTCAAATTTATTTTAAAATCCAAACAATAAATATTGTTTTGGCACTCTTTAATGCAGCACCGTGTATTGCATATTAAAGGGATAGTTTACCAAAAAATGAAATGTCGTTCCAAATCCGTAAAGGTCTCTGCACACTGACTCCGACATTTTCGTTTGTGTTTTTTCGTACATTCGAAATCCTAAAAATTTGTCACGCACAGAAACCTTGCACACTGAGTCTGATGCGTATTAATTAATCCGTTGCGAAGAAATTCGCAAAACAGCACTAAATGGAGTCTTCAAGCAGTGAGGATGATTTTGTTGTCGTCTCGCTTCTTAAAAAGAGAAAAAGAGAGGAAATATTGGGTCCATCCGACACTGAGATACAGAGAGGACGGAGAGTTCCCCCTCAGGAGCAGCGAGATTATCCCGGGCGATTCAATGTTTACTTCAGGATGTCAGTGGTTTAGTTTGATACTAGAGCCACATAATAAAAAGAAGACCACCAATTTCTGTGAACTCAGTGTGCAAGGATCTTTACGGTGCTTTGTGCTGCGAGACGAAGTGGATGAACTTGACAATCGCCATTCTAGTCTGGATTTTAGCGTTCGCTTGTACGGTGGCTCTGAACTGTCAAAACACCTCTCAAAATGCTTGCAACGGATGCGAAAAACTGAAAAAATCGAACCCGATCCGAATTTTTTTTATGACGGACGAAAATTTCGGAGGCAGTGTGTAAACGTGATTGACATAACGTGAGGTCGTATTTATTTTTTAACGTGCGAAAATTTCTAACGAAATTTTCGGGCTCAGTGTGCAATGACCTTAAGACCTTCGTTCATATTCGTAACACAAATTAAGATATTTTTGATGGAATCTGAGAGCTCTCTGACCCTCCATAGACAGCAAGGATATTACCACGATCAACGCACAGAAACGTAGCAAGGACATCGGTAAAAATAGTCCATGTGATCTCAGGGGTTCAACGGTAATTTTACGAAGCTACGAGAATACTTTTTGTGCGCAAAGAAAACAATAATAACTTTATTTATTCAGCAATTCTTCTCCCCGAGTTACTGTCTTCTGCCATTTTGTAGAGTACCCAAGAACGTAATCAATGTAATGAGTGTTGTTTATGTTGTACTGAACATAAACAACACTGATTACCTTCAGCGAAAGAACGCGCATGCTGAATGTAAACAACGTAATAACAATCTAATTTTTTTCCATATCAATTTAATATTGTGGTATCATCAAACAAAGGTTTGTCTGGTTATGTCATATAATTTTCTTATCTAAGTGGATGTTTCTGGGCCAAAATAAGCTGCAGAGTAGACAAGGTTTTCATGCTCAAAAGTGGACATGACATGAAGTGAGGAACCGCCACTAATGTTTAATATTCTATTAATCCAGTTTGACAGAAAATCATTGTCATGTCATTGTCATTATCAGTATTTATGAAATATTGTGACATGATCTGAATATAGCAGGTCAGCACAGCCACAAAAGAGCCGTTTTGTGAAGAGAGAAATGTGTTCAACAAATGCGGGACAAGAACCGTTTGCTAAATATAAACACTCACATATAGTTTTCTACCAAAAATGGTGAATTGGTGCATTTGAAAAAGGATTGTTATTTAGTTTTTCTGTTCCGCTCAGACACAGCTCTAGATTTTCTACTAGGGGTGGACATTCTGATTTATTGTGGGCACAAAAAATGTGAAGTTTGTTACACACGTGAGTCTGTTATGTTTAGTTTTTATTCACTTGCAGTTACAAGCATGCTTCAGCAGGTTTTGCATGATCAAAGATCAAATAGATGTCACCCGTCACCTTTGTCTTTTTTTAAAGTGTGCACATTGTCCAGTGGATAAAGTTTATTAGTTTATTAGCATAATGGGTGAAGTTTACTGGAAAGATTTCTGTCAGACTAATTGTTTACATGACATTTTAAAGTTGCAACATAACAGAGATAGCAACAGAGCTTTTAATTGAAACTGATAATCAAACATAAATAATGGGGGACTTGATTCAGTTAATCGTTTGTTGATTGGATGGAGGCACATCTAAATGTGAGCTTACAGTTGATTATAAGAAAAGTGTGGGTTTATGCAAACTAAATGATAGAAGTCTGCTATACATCACCAGAGGGAAGTCTGTCAATTCATACGAAAATGCCGTGATTAAACACATTTTTTGTCACCTTGCTTCTACATTAAACAAAAATTTAAATATGTGGATGAATCATTCACAATGAGTATACATATCATGCATTTGCAAAATAAATACAGTGAATTTTCATTTCATGCCTACTTTAAATTATTGTCTGAGTGAAACTAAATTTTAAAGTGTGTGTTATTGCACTAATTATTCCACAAGGTTTTCTATAAAAAATAGTAAAAGTCTTATCCTTGTTATTACATAGCTGGCTGTTGAGAAAATGTGCACAGGAGCACATAGATATTAGTCTGATATGAGTTCCTCATACTGATTGACTGCATCTGAACACACTCCATCACATCTCAACATCTCAGCGTAACCTAATGCTGTCAGTAAAAGATTTTCTACATATGTTTTCTATTTTTATGTTCCAATTCTATTTTTAAAATGTCATTTATTCCTGTAATGGCAATTTCAGCATAATTAGAAATCAGAAATTCAGAAATCATTCCAATATGTTGATTTGGTGCTCGGTTATTATTGGTTTTTAATAATTAATAATGGTTCTTATTATTATGAATGTGTTGAACAGTTTTTGCCGGTTAATTTGTTTTTTAGTTTTTTTTTTGATAAGTTAAAAGATAAATCTGATTTATTCAGATTTTTAGCTGAATAAAATGTCTTTAGATAGACAAACAAACAAAGATACATACTGACCCCAAACCATATTTTAAACCCAAGTATATATTAATGTGAGACATGGCCTAGCAATAGTGTTGTTTTAGAATTATTTCTATACTATTATATTCTATTTTGAATTAGCTGTTATTTTTATAGTTTCATTTAAAACTTTTCTTGTAATTTTATGTGCTTTTGTCATTTTTATTATTATTTTTATATTTCAATTTCACTTTAATTTCAGTGTTAAATTAGTGTAGTACTCCCACTTAAAAACTTAAATGAAAATTAGAAATGTTGCCTTGGAAGCTAACAGAAAAAAATAAGTTTTTATTTTTCTAATATTTATATTTTATTTTATTTCAGATGTATTTGAATGAACAAAAACAACTTTTAAACTATTTACAATTAACAAAAACAATAGTTTCAGCTAACACTAATAAGACAATAATAACCACAGGTTCGAATCCAGCCTGCATCTGCTGTTGTCATTAAAATGTCGCCCAAAAAGAAACCATACATTTATTGTTTCTTCCAATCGTTTTTTTGTAAAACAATACTGTAGTGTGTGTTGTATCATCCACCCTTTTACATTGAAGTCATGGGCTAAATGAGAGAATGAGCCATACATTCCCTGTTTTTCAGTTGTTCTGTTTTTCATTTATGGCTTTGTGCTGCGAGACGAAGTGGATGAACTTGACAATCGCCATTCTAGTCTGGATTTTAGCGTTCGCTTGTACGGTGGCTCTGAACTGTCAAAACACCTCTCAAAATGCTTGCAACGGATGCGAAAAACTGAAAAAATCGAACCCGATCCGAATTTTTTTTATGACGGACGAAAATTTCGGAGGCAGTGTGTAAACGTGATTGACATAACGTGAGGTCGTATTTATTTTTTAACGTGCGAAAATTTCTAACGAAATTTTCGGGCTCAGTGTGCAATGACCTTAAGACCTTCGTTCATATTCGTAACACAAATTAAGATATTTTTGATGGAATCTGAGAGCTCTCTGACCCTCCATAGACAGCAAGGATATTACCACGATCAACGCACAGAAACGTAGCAAGGACATCGGTAAAAATAGTCCATGTGATCTCAGGGGTTCAACGGTAATTTTACGAAGCTACGAGAATACTTTTTGTGCGCAAAGAAAACAATAATAACTTTATTTATTCAGCAATTCTTCTCCCCGAGTTACTGTCTTCCGCCATTTTGTAGAGTACCCAAGAACGTAATCAATGTAATGAGTGTTGTTTATGTTGTACTGAACATAAACAACACTGATTACCTTCAGCGAAAGAACGCGCATGCTGAATGTAAACAACGTAATAACAATCTAATTTTTTTCCATATCAATTTAATATTGTGGTATCATCAAACAAAGGTTTGTCTGGTTATGTCATATAATTTTCTTATCTAAGTGGATGTTTCTGGGCCAAAATAAGCTGCAGAGTAGACAAGGTTTTCATGCTCAAAAGTGGACATGACATGAAGTGAGGAACCGCCACTAATGTTTAATATTCTATTAATCCAGTTTGACAGAAAATCATTGTCATGTCATTGTCATTATCAGTATTTATGAAATATTGTGACATGATCTGAATATAGCAGGTCAGCACAGCCACAAAAGAGCCGTTTTGTGAAGAGAGAAATGTGTTCAACAAATGCGGGACAAGAACCGTTTGCTAAATATAAACACTCACATATAGTTTTCTACCAAAAATGGTGAATTGGTGCATTTGAAAAAGGATTGTGATTTAGTTTTTCTGTTCCGCTCAGACACAGCTCAA